GTCACAATCACAAATGCCTTGTTCGAGTATGTGTGCATTTGAAAAAGTATGCCTTTTCCTCTTAGGTTTCTAGTTTATATATTGTCTCACGTGATCAGTGTCCATAATACCAATTCATGGGTCATAGTCATCTATGTCTCCTTGTTTTCCTGAGATGAATCAATAGGATCAATTCCTTTGCTTTTGTATTCAGAACACACACTTTATGGCTATTCAAATGTATTTAAGGCTGTGTTTGAGCATCAAATTATATTATTAATAAACCAAATACGCCGTCTTTGTGCCGACCTATTTGACTTGACCTATTTATGTTAATCCAAATAGTCCTTGCCTCGTGGTATGCCTTAAATATGTAACATGCTCTATTGAATATGGGTTTAGATCCGACCTAAATTTCCAGACATGTAAACAGTCTCTCAAGCATGAAGCATGTACGAGCGAGATGCTTTACCCCAAAAATCGGGTTGTACACAGTCCCTTAAACACGAGGTCTGTACAAGCGAGATGTTTTATGTGAAAAACCATATTGTACAAAGTCTCTAAAGTATCATGCTTGTAAGAGCGAGATTTTTTATGTGTGAAACCATACTGTACATAGTCGCTCAAGCATGAAGCCTCTAAGGGCAAGATGTTTTATGTGAGAAACTAGGTTTTGCATAATTTGTCAATGGATATTTCCCATTTGGGAAAAACTTCTCACTTTTTGATTTGTTTCAAACTTCTTTGTTTCATGATGTTTATGATTTTTTTGGTATTTTCTCTGTCATCATAAAAACCTTTGATATACATTTCTAACATATGGAACTACAAGAACATGGTTCCTATAACATTTACCATTAACAACATATACTAATGCATATAACATACTACACACATCTCACAAAAGGGGAAATTTCTACCAAAACATTATTAAGCGTATAGGATGAGACATTGAACAAAATTTAGGATCATTCATTCTCGAAGACGATGAAACACCACGAGTGTATTATAAACCACCATATATCACTACTATAAAAATAAACTTTTGTAACACCACCGAATTTCATTTCACCATGACCAAAGGATCCACCGTTGTAGAATCTATTCAATTAGACGCTTTCCTTTTATTTTCATTTTTAAGGTCACTTTTCACCACGGTTGGAACTTCTAACCATGGTAAAAAGTGGCGTCTGGTCATGAGTTCGAATCCTAGCACATAGAGGTTTGTTTTTTATTTATTTTTAAGCCACTTTTTACCACAGTTGGAACTTCCAACCGTGGTGAAAAATGGTGCATGGTCATGAGTTCGAATCTTCTTGTTGTTGTTTTATGCTGCATTTTATTTTATGTTATTAAAAAACATACAACAACAATTATTTAATACAATTGTTGTATGTAGCGTGTTATTCACGATTTTGTTTTTCCAACCTGTACTAACATTTTATTTTATTAAAAGACATACAACAATGGTTATTTAATACAACCGTTGTTGTATGTAACGTGTCGTTCACAGTTTTATTTTTCCAAGTTGTACTAACATTGCACGTTATTTAATATAAATCTTTCTCATCCATAAACAAACCTTTGTCGTTCATTTAGTGATTATCAACATTCAAAACACTACCATTTGTGATCCGCGTTGTTCTTGCATGGTCATGAGTTCGAATCTTGTTGTTATTGTTGTTCAATGCTACATTTTATTTTATTTTATTAAAAGACATACAACAACGATTATTTAATACAACTTTTGTTGTATGTAGCGCGTTACTCACAATTTTGTTTTTTCAACCTTTACTAACATTTTATTTTATTTTATTAAAATACATACAACAATGGTTATTTAATATAACCATTGTTGTATGTAGCACGTTGTTCACAATTTTGTTTTTCCAAGTTGTACTAACATTGTGTGTTATTTAATATAAATCTTTGTCGTCCATAAACAAATCTTTTCCATCCATTTAGTGATTATCAACGCTTAAAACACTATCATTAGTGATCCGCGTGAAACCTAAAACTTAGACGAACTTCCAACTTATACGAACTTTATCTTCTACCTCCAAACATCATCTTTCATTTATGACACTCTATTTCTCCACTAAACCAAGCTCAAAAATATTATTTCTTCCATAAACAAAACTCGAAAATATCATTTCTTTCATTAACACATTTCAGAACTCCATCATATTTTCTCCAACTTGAATGAGACAGAGAAAGTATGGATTCAAGTTAGCAGTGTTAGTTGTTGTTGTTCTCTTTTTTTTTGTTATTGTTGTTGTTGTTTTTGTTGTTCTTATTGTTATCATGGTTCTTGTTTTTTTGATGTTGTTATTGTTGTTGTTATTGTTGTTGTTTTTGTTGTTGTTGTTATTGTTGCTCTTATTGTTGCTCTTCTTGCTTTTCTTGTTGATGTTGTTATTGTTGTTATTCTTCTTGTTTTTGTTGCTCTTGTTGTTCTTGCTGCTGTTGTTGTTCTACTACTGCATTTTTTTATTTTATTAAAAGACATACAACAATGATTTTTTTAATACAATTGTGGTTGTATGTAGCGCGCTATCTAGTTTACTACCACGGGCAATAGATCATGATTGTAAATAACCCACTTACAACCACACCCTACCTAACAACGATTGTTCAACCGTTATTATAGATCTTTCACAACCGTTTTTAAATGAGTTTTTTTGTAGTAGTGTATAAACATAATAATGGGGAATTTTAGTTCAAACTTAAGGTTTACCTTTGAGCCTCATTCTTCGTTTAGCTTCAATTTTTAAAAACTATGCAAGAAAATAATTGCAACTCTACGCTTCGTTTAACTTTATTTATCTTCGCTTTTGGATTTGAAACTTTGAGTTTTGTTCCATGTTTATATCCATTTTGAACTTCATTCTTTGAGCTTCATTCACTACCGCTGACAAGGGCCTAAATAAGTCATTCCAAGCCTAAGTCATTACTCACACGTGTGAAACCTGAATCTATCAAGTAAGCTTTGTCACAACCTAATTGGATTTAGGCTATACAACTTGAATATGAAGCTCTCTTGGAAAATTATACTTGGACCTTAACATCGCTTCCACCTCATATAAAACCTTTTGGATGAAAATGGATCTTCAAAGTAAAATAAAATCCAGACGGCACAGTGAATAAATACAAAGCCAGATTTGTAGCCAAATACAATCATTAACAGTTCAGATTTGACTTTAATGAAACCTTCTCTCCATTTGTGAACCCTACCACATCAGAGTTATTCTCACTCTTGTCCTGACCAGCAAATGAGAATTTCAACAAATTGACATCAACAATGCTTTTCTGAATGGTTCCCTTCAAGAAGAGAGTTTTATGTCTTAACCACCTAGCTTTGAAAAGTAAGATCCCACTATGGTTTATAAACTAAATAAAGCATTATATGGACTTAAATAGGCTCCAAGGGTCTGGTATAAAAAGGTGGCTCAAACACTAATTCAATTTAGCTCATTCATAGTAAATGTGACCACTATATATTCATGTACTCTCGTCAAGGAGACACCATGTATGTTTTGGTCTATGTTGATGATATCCTGCTTACAAGGACCTCTTCTACCTTAATTCACAAACTCATTGAATCTCTTCGTGCCATTTTTGCTCTCAAGAAACTTGGGAAACTTGAATAATTTTTAGGCATTGAAGCTAATCACCTTCCCACTAGTTGTATGCTTCTCACACGGACTAAATACATTCGAGACTTACTCACTCAAGCCAAAATATGCAATGCAAATAGAGTTACTACACTTATGATCAGTACTTGCAAACTTAGAAACATGGTTCTCCAACATTTCCAGATCCTCATCAATATACATCAATGAACTTTCCATACAGTTCTATCCACCTACATTTCTTTCTGACAACCTCAGTGCAATACTCTTGTCACACAACCCGATTCCTCATACTAGGACAAAACACATTTAGTTGGACATCCATTTTATTCGAGAAAGAGCCATTGCAGAGAGAATGAAGATCCAACATTTTTCTAGTACTATGCAAGTTGGAGACACCCTTACAAAACTGCTTGGTATGATTGTGTTTTAAGACCTTCAAACCAAACTCAAAAAGTCACAACTTACATTTGTCCTTGATCTTGTGGGAGAATATTGGGAGAATAATGTAAGTTAGGACATGAAAATTTAGCATGAACTGTCTTCCACCATGCACTTGTATGACTGGAGGTTATGTAAGCTTATATCACCATGCACATGTATATAAGAATGATGCATGGTGACACCAACCTTTCTTAAATGAACACTTCATGCATTTTATGCATAAATCTCTATAAATATTAGTGTCATGCCTAGTAACTTTTAACTCATTATGCATATTCTATTGACAATTAATGTGTATGATCAATTCATACAAAATTTTACTTTAACTTTAAATGAGACTATCAAATGAACAATAAGATTCATCTCTCTCGAATTATTCAATCATAGGAGTTGATACCAAAATTTTAAAAAAAATCAGCAAAAGAAAAACTTAAAATTTTATCAAATAAAAAACAATTATTTAATGCTAATTAAGATTTAACCGCAATAAATAAAAATGATGATGTAATAGAATTGTGTTTAAATTAAAATTCGTATACAACATATTCTAAATATTTAAGACGGCGAAGCGTATATGTATACAAATTGACATCTTAAAACTCACCCATCCTGCTGACTTGAGAATATATGATATTCTCCGTCTTGTCAGGGATCTGATCTCATCACATCAGCAATAAGATCAAGATTCAATTAATTTAATACAAAACATGGAGCATAACAACTTGGGCGCCGTCCAAACGAATACGTACACAAATTACAAAACACTGTGAGTGTGTGATGACAACCTTAAACGTCACCCACAACACAACATGACCAAAATACCATTTCCACCGCTTACAAACTTTGAATATATTAATAATCACGAAATTGTCTTTATATATATTCCATCATCCACATTCTCCATAACCAACCCATTCTTTCTCTCTCAAAACTCACATCATCACCATGCATCAAGCAATTCCTTACATGTCACCACACAACAACAACAACAACTTTGGTAATATTAATGAAAATTATTATTATAACAACAAGAAGAAGAAGGAGAGGGGGAATAGTCCTTCTATGGTGAAAATGGTTTCTGAGAACGCTGTGATAGTGATCGGAAGACACGGTTGCTGCATGACTCATGTGGTGAAACGTCTTCTACAGAGTCTAGGTGTTAACCCTGGGATTCATGAGGTGGAGGAAGAGAAAGATGAAGTGTGTGTTGCGAAAGAATTGGAATCGATGATTGAAGGGAAGTGTAATGTGCAGTTTCCGATGGTGTTTATAGGTGGTAAGATGTTTGGTGGATTGGAACGTGTTATGGCTACTCATATTTCTGGTGAATTGGTTCCATTGCTTAAACAAGCTGGTGCTTTGTGGCTATGATTCATTGTTTCTTGTGTTTAATTAATTAATACTCTATTTAGTTGAAGAAACAAATGTTGCTAATTTCATGATGTATATTGTTTTAGTTAAATAATTGTTAAATAATTATGTCACCGCCATAATTCACGGTTGCTCCTATTCTAGAATGTTTGGATTTTAAATTGGTCATTTTGCAAAACGTGTTTATTCCTTTTCATTCATTGCGTTTTCTAATCTATTTTCAAGGGAAAGATAAACATAAACAATTTAAAATGGACGACACGTGAGGTTGTTAGGTAGAAATGGATGGTGATGTTGGTCGGTGCTCCACATATGAGGGTGATGAGCCTATAAATATTATCACGATGTAGTAAATAAAAATCATGGGTGTAAAGTTTTGGGCTAGAAAGCTAACATATTCAGATTTTTTATTTTTTTAAATAACTATCTTTTTTCCTTTTATATACCAAAATAACAATTATTTTAAATAAATTACTAAAATAATAACTTTTAAAAAAAAATTATATATTTATAATCACAGTCAAAATTGTAAAACTCTATTCATTGTAGGTATACTTATATCTATGGCACTTTATCGTAGCTAAAAGAGATTTTTTAATATATAATATATTATTTACGGTAAATAGACTTTTATCTACGGATTTTGACTCTCACTATAAGCATGCATCATCTCAAGTGGTGTTTATGTACAATTTTATAATGCATACGTCATTTTTAGTGACTACTTCTTTTACGTCCGTTTAAAAAGTGACTACTTTCATAATTTATTTGAAAGCATGCTTATTTTGATATATACATTAAAAAGGGCACCCTATAAATTACATTGCTATCACATCCTCGTGAAAAATTTAAAATACTTATAGATTTTTGAGATTTATTTTCGGATGTACAATAACCGACGGGTATGTCAAATGGTCAAGGGTTCGATCCCCAAGGAGACCTTTTTGAAATTCTGAAATGGCGAAAATACATGTCCCTTCGGTTTTGTAATTTCACCAACGGTTATACAATATTTTTACCTCAGTTATCTAATAAAATCGAGGGGTAAAACAACTTTGATTTATTAAATCTAATGTAAATTACTTATTTCACTAAACCCGATACTAAACATATAACTTCTAAATATTGGTTAGGAAAATAATTATATAAACAATTGTGTTATATTTGAAGAAAAACATACGTATCTTCTCACATTGTTTTACAATTAAAATCTCTCTAATGTTTCAAGTTATTTATTCAACACTTCCTTTTCTACTAATTCATTCTTAAAAGCATAAAATTGATGCTTTAAAAAATGAACAAATATGGAAGAAAGTTGAATAAAAATTAGAAGTATTAGAGAGATTTTAACTATAAAACTACGTGAGATGAATGACGAATTATAGGATGCTAGAAAATCATTAATCAGTGTAAGATAAGTTTCAGATACAACATAAGTTTACATATATGATTATTTCCAAAATCAACATACTAGGTTATATGTTCAAAGAGGGGTTAACTAGTGAAACAAACAATCGACGTTAGATATAATTAGCTCAACTAGACGGAACAACAAAATAACAACAACATCAAATGCAACATCAACGTCAACAAACAACAACAACATCAATAAAAACCTCTAGGATTTAGGGGCTCAACAACAAGAACAAAAACATCGACAAAAACAACATCAATAACAAGAACAAAAAAATAACAACAAAAACTCTAGGGTTTCAAATCTCAACAAGAACAACAACAATAACAACAACAACAACAACAACCACCACCACCACCACCACAACAACAACAACAACAACTAAAACAACAACAACAATAATAACAATATGACAAAAATATTAGTAGTGATATTTGAAGTATCAGATCTCTAAAGAAGAAGTAAAAGAAAATGATTTGGATCTCTGAAGATGAAGTAAAAGAAAATAATTTGGATCGCTGAAGAAGAAAAGAGAGTCCTAAACACATAACATCTTCGTAGTGAAAATGGTATATGTTTATGAATCTTGTTGTTTAGGGCTCTTCGTTAGATTATGTTTGTGTTGTTTAGACAAATAAAAATAAATGCTACAAGTTAAAGTTATATATATATATATATATATATATATATATATATATATATATATATATATATATATATATATATATATATATATATATATATATATATATATATATATATATATATATATATATATATATATATATATATATATATATATATATATATATATATATATATATATGAGAAACATATTCACCTCGGTTGGAAAGAAAACCAACAAGTAAAATAACATACTTTTAAATTAAAACTAAAATATTCAAGAATGCGCCACTTTAAATGAGATAAAAACATAAGTTGAGGCTGTTGAGATTCGAAACATGTACACTGTATATGTTTATCCATAGATTTTCCAACTAACCAATGGAATATATATATATATATATATATATATATATATATATATATATATATATATATATATATATATATATATATATATATATATATATATATATATATATATATATATATATATATATATATATATATATATATATATTAAACAAAATAGGGTACGTCTAGGTATTTGACCTAGGTTTTTCAGTACGTGATGTGAAATCGTCATCATGAAATGTATTATTTATAGTAGTGATCAGAACGTTTGTTTCATAATGGAAAAATATATTCCATACAACTCTTAAATTTGCACTCGCCTTCAGCTCAAAGTTGTCAAACTAAATCTTTCCTTCGTCAATCGAGGGTCAATGTTAACCGAGCTTCAAAATTTTCTATTATTATAGTAAGTTAAGAGACTTTCCAATATGTATTTCAAATCTGCAAGGGGTGTATCATTGAAATTAAATTCAATTGAGAGTTTCACGCAATTGAAGTAGACATTTGCGACATGTAAATTGATGTTCATTATGGTGAAATGTGATTTGGTAAAAAAACATGAGATAAGAGCCTCATACTTATAGGAGTTCTAGGAAAATATGGACCTTAGAAATTTTATCTTGTACTAGGGAACGTTCCAAAAATGCATCTCAAGTGCCACCCTAATTTGTTATCCTGGAGATGTATTTCCTAAACATTCCATGGTACAAGATAGAATTTCTAAGGTCCATATTTTTCTAGAAATACTATAAGTATGGGGATCTTATCTCATGTTTCTTACCAAATCACATTTCACCACAATGAACATCAATTGGCATGTGGCAAAGTAGGAAACATGTTGAACAACGTGATAAAATTTGGATGAGTTCAAAATATCTCTAACGGTAACTCCATCCTTGCATGTTGAGTACATAGATATATAATAATCATCATTTACAAGTCTCAATAGTTGTTGAATTTTAGTTCTATCCCCCCTTAACACCTTGTTATTAGAAGCCCAAATATTGTATAGTTGCTTGATATTTGAGATATTTTTGGATCTTTTATGTTTCAAAGATGCAACTATGTTTTTCAGTTGCTTCATATTCAATGTCATATCTAAAACAATTCCCTTCTCTTCCGGCATGAGGCGACATGCAATTGGATGCCCGACTAACCTTTCACACATGTCATAGTTATGTAAATGACATATCACATTAAATCTCCATTTGTTATTTGAATAAAGATAACCATGCAACTTAAAGGGACTACATGTGGTAGCTTATCCGAAAGTGAACGTATATTATCAGAGTAATACAAAAGATATCGAACCCACAGAGACCAATAGTCAATCCTATCGTTACCTACTATCGCTATGTAAAATTAAGGTTAAAAAGATTTTCTTTTTGTGAGAAGGAAAATTAAAACAAGAAATAAAGTTTGTCTTCTGAGAATATTAATAAAAGCGAGACATTTAGTCGCACCTTTAGGATTTAATTAATTTTGGCGTTTGTTTTTAATTTTATAAAATATTTTTCGAAAGAAGATATCAACTTAAAAACACTGCTCACTTTCGCACAACCCGTGTTATGTTTCAAAGTCGTAAATGTTTTGTTGTCGCTTACTCAGTTACACTTTCGAAAAAAAATTAAAAACTAATAAATCCTAATTAATCACTAAAGTGTTGGTGTTGTTTTTAGAAATTAAATTCAATTTTTATTGTCGGGTATGGTGAAGGTGAGAAAATACTTAGAAGGGGGGTTGAATAAGTATGAAGATAAAAATTTAGAAATAAAAACTCAAGTATTTTTATCCTGGTTCGTTGAACTCAACTACTTTAGTCCACCCTTCCTAGAGTGATTTGCCTTTCTCAAATAAGGACTTAATCCACTATTTAATCAACTGATTACAATAGTAAGCACTGAGAACAACTGTTCAAAGTCTTCTCAAGAACTATTGATCCTAACTGGATCTTCTTAAGGTTTACAATCAAATGTAATACAAATACAAGTGTTTAAGATTGCTTCTATAAAGCTTTATCACAACTGTGATTTTTCACTTAACTATTAAGAACAAAGAAATTAATTCTCAGAATGAATATGAATATTATGAGAGCTTGAATGTTGATTTCTTTTAGATGGAACGTTAGTTGAAGAAGATGGGTGAAGACTTGCTTTTATAGGCAGCTGATCCAAGGAGAGCTTCAACGTTGAGAAGAGTGTCCAAAAGGTCTGAGCCTTTTTGTCTTCACATCAAGTGACCTTTCCTAGAAGAAGAAAGCATAGAGAAATCCTTTTTGTCTGTGTTCTTGTGTCTAGCATAAATAAGGAAAGAGTCGTTTGAATTATTCCAACGGATATAATCTTGAATTATTCTTCTTCAGTTTTGAGCAAATTCATCAGAGTCTAATTAGATCAGAGCTTTCTGATGATGATCAGAGTTTTGCTGAATCAGAGTCTTCTGCAGCAGGTGTGTTTTTAGCGTGTTTTAGATCAGAGCATATTTGAGACAGATCTTCAGTACTGGCAGCTTTAGTACTTTCAGAATCTTTTGTAGTAACTATGCTTTGAAAACTCTTCATACATAATTCTTCTTTGGGTCAGATGCTTCTGACTTGCTTCAGATTCTT